TCTTGATTTAATAATACAAGTTTACAGTGAAAAATAAATATTTGTTTAATGGATCCTGCGAAGTAGAATGTGAAAATAATCTGTCAGATATTGTAATAGAACAGAAGATGAACATTTGTATAATAATATCAATGAAAAAATAATTAAAATTTTGTTAATTAAATGACGAAACTATGATCTATCGATGAAAGGTATCCACAACGTAGCAGACAGATCAAATAATAAAAATAATCTATCAAATTTTCATCAAACGTTAAAAATATAATTTTTCATATCTTCCTAAATCAGCACTAAATAAAATGAAAATTGGTACTAGCAGAATTAACAGACTAGGAAGTGAAAATAATATTTTCAATAAATAGAAGTCTCACAAATTTTCCTTAAACGTTAAAAATATAATTTTTCATACCTTCTTGAATCAGCACTAAATAAAATAAAAATTAGTACTAGCAAAATTAACAGACCAGGAAGTGGAAATAATATTTTCATCAAATAAAAGTTTCTCAAATTTCCAAACCTTAAAAATATAATTTTTCATACCTTCCTAAATGAACATTAAATAAAATGAATATTAATACTAGCACAGAATTAACAGACCAGGCATTGAAGATAATATTTTAGATAAATAAAAATAGTCTCTCAAATTGGCACCAATCCTTAAAAATATAATTTTTCATCCTTCTCCAGACGAACAGAAAATGGAAATGCGGAAAGACAGGATATTCAACACGAAATCCGAAGACTGTATATTTCATAACACGCTAAAGCAAACTAATCCAACAATCATCGTCCTACCGACTCGCAGGGACTATTAAACCGCTGCATTAATCTAACCACCCATTGTTCCGTGGCATTAACTCCAACCAAGACGTCTATCAACCAACCCCACGATCACGTCTGCCTTCCACGATCGCTTCCTTCCAAGCTTCCCGTGAAGGCAGAGTAAATAACACTTGCTGAACTTCGTAAACCGTGTGCAACACTGAATGGATGCTCATCAATCAAAAGTAGCCCCATGCATACAGATTCACCCTGTCCCCATTCACACTTGTCCTGTCAAGCATATTTCACCTGTAAAACCCGTTCCCGCGAGTACACACGATTCGATGTTGAATGCAGGTGTCGATGATCCGTGGTATATGGCTCTCGAGCTGTCAGAATATTCGTCGTTGAAATATCGTCGGACATCAAACTCCGCCGAGATGTTTATTAGATGGAATTTATAATACCTGCCGGGTAGCTCCCTCACGTGGGCTGAGTGGCCAGTGTGTCTAAACAGTGGCAGATCAATATCACCAAATTTCTTCTACCCGGCGAGAGAAGCTTTCCTTCCACGCATACGTTCCGCTATGAGGAAAGAAACAGAAGCCATTAATAATTCCTACCGCTCCTCGTGTTTATATTTATGAACCAAAGACCAATTTTCTTGCGAGTCCGACTAACCTCCCGAGAGACACTAATGTACTTTCAGTATTCATTAAATTCGAGCACGATGGCAGCAAGATGGCTGCGCATAAGAAAGGCGGAATTAAAAGATATTTCCTTCTGGCATCTTGCCGATTCGAATAGGATACAGTGGTGCAACAAATTTGTCCAAAATCATAAATTCGCTGCTTGATCTAATTAATTGATAGCTCGATTTGGTCTGCATACAATTATTCGAAAGAATATCTCAGTTTTAAAAATCCCATAAAGCTTCCCGTATTTATATTCACGAACAGAATACCAATCTTATTTTCTAAAATCTACTAATTTACTTGGATTCAATCGTGAAATCCGAAATGGCCCCGCGGAAGAGAGATCAAATTATAAAATTAAAAGTCCATATTTCAAGGAACCTAAAGAATATGAAATAGATTTTCCGTAAAAGCGTTTGCAAAACGAGTGCAATAATGGAAGGAAAATCCGATTGAAAGGTGAAAGAATTGAAAAGGATATTGCGTACTCTAGAAAGCCCATAAATGACCGTTGCATGGAGGCCACAATTATTTCCCGTTCAATTTCTTTCCCAAGCTCCCTTACATCCTGCCGCAACAGCTGTTAAGCCCGCGAAAACGTGTCTGCGTGAAGCAGCCAGGCTACCCAACGGCACTCCTATACGTCGAAAGCTCCCTACCCTCGGCCCAGACACAGCCCCGGTGTGTCGCGCGCGAGACGTATACGAAAAGCACATTAAAAAGGAGAGGAAGAGGAGAGAAAAAAGGCAGAAGTGTTAGCCGGTGTGTGCGACTCGATGCGGAACGGAAGCGTGAACGATGCACGGGGTGGCCGGGGCCGGGTTAGCAGCAGAGTCCGGGGGTGAGAAAGGGACGCGGCAGGTGTCGGTGGTGGGGGGATGCGCGGTGTATTAAACCCGGTGACTCTTGCCGCGCAGCGTGGGAGTTAGTTCTGGTGAGGGCGCCAGCCAGCTCACTCGCTAAACTAACCCACCGTCCCAACCCTTCGATCCTCCATCCCTCGGCCTTCGGCCAACAAAGCAACATCCACGGCCGCAACCTCCTTTCACCGACTCCGTAGCCGCTGTTTTTCGCGACTTCCTGCCCGGCCCGCGTTACCAACGTTAAAGAAAAACCGGCGAACCATTCATCGTGGAACTTGGAACACCTCTCGCCGCCTTCGCGTCTCAGAAACTACGTACGTACACTGCTCGGCCAGGCGAGCATGCGAGAACACCAGAAGCTCGTCGGTTGGGAACGCAGCTGAACACTCGCCGAGTGTCAATCGTCGTCGATAGAACTGCGTACACCGTGGACGGTGGTGTAGACCGAGGTAGATAGAAGAGGTTGAATCTACCTAGTCGATCGACGTGTACGACGTTTCTCAGCCGGACGTTTCACTGGCTCGACGTCATCGTCGGTAGGCCGGATGACAAGTATCAGCGAGCGGCTGCCAGCAACATGCTAGCCGACTGGTGTTCGCACCATTTTGTGTTCGCGTGATCCGGGATAGAGGTGGTCCGGTCCGTCGGTGATGAACAAACTGGAAGACACGGTGCTCGTGACAGCGAGAAGAGGCTAGATCGTCGATAGACGAACGGTTCTACAAAGCGAGTATCAACCGGGTACAGATTAACGGAGTTGCTCAGAGACATCGGAGACATCGTCAGACCAGGTGGATTTCACGCGAGGAATCGAGAAAGGGAAGAGTGTTATGTGCGACGGGGAACGGAGGATTTGAACGGCAGGGAAGGTTATCTGTTAGCGTATCGCATGAGAACAGGTCCCACGGTGGGAAAGAGGAGGAGAAGGGCGAAGGTTTCGCAGCACGCAGTCACAGAAGCAAGTATTTCGCACAAAAACACACGTTAAATCACTACACGCACACACACACACGCACACACACACACACACACACACACACACATACGTATATTGAACACACTGGGTAATATTCCGCAACTGCACCTTTGTCCGATAATTTCTTTTCTATATATATGTATATATATATATATATTATTCGTGCACATTATACATATATATATATATAGTTGTACTTATATATATGTATATTATTCTCTGTTCACACGCGCCGCCTGTGTTGTATCACACTCTATCTCTGTATGATCGATGTGCGTACTGTGTTCTTCTTCTCCTTCACTCTTTCGACGTCACGACGACCAGCTGTGTCGTCCGGCGCCTTAATTAATTCCCTTCCCCCCAACCGGGAGCACGGTTTTGCACATTTTTCGGGCACCTGTTGATCTCTCTCGTACTACATAGCCACTTTTCCGCACTCTAAAGTCGTTCGGGGAGTTCGATGTCACTGCTGCACGCCGTATCACCGCACGTAGAACTCTTGTACGCCTCACTGGCACAAGCACCCAGCTCCGTGAACCGGCACACCGTCGTCGAACAGCATGGAGACCGATAGAAACCGGCCTACGCACGTCGACAGTAAGTGACCCCTAAAAAAAAGACCAGTAGAGACGTCAGCAGGGAGCCGAGGGTTCTGAAGCGTGGATGGTCCTATGCTGGTCTAGCCAGGAGCTCGCACTCACGGTTCGGTGGCAACGTAGAGGCACACAGACGTCGTGAAAAGTAGTATGTTACCCTAGACAGACGCCAAGATCGTTTCAACAGTGGGAAACGATCGTCATGCAGACAACCGGGAGAGAAAGCAGGGGTAAGCGAGCGAGCAGGAGACCCAGGAGAAAGATAGTTCGATCAGGAGCACGTAACCGTGGCCGATCGATCGGGTTTCGTTGTTGCCCACACTGTCGAGCACCTTAAAAGCATCCACGACCAGCACCAGCACCACTGATATCACGGCACCACATAATAATCCTTCAGACACACGCCAGCACCCTTAAGCCGGCTATGATCTATCCTTTTTCACTAACGGCCTGATTTCAGGACGCGGAAATCCTCGAGAGCCTCTGTCGTTGAGGGCAACGAAGCCGAGGAATTTCGGAAATAGCGAGACTAGAGAGATACCGCGCGGGATCGTGCAACTGGAATCGTAAAGCAGTCTAGTCTAGGAGAAATACCGGTGAAAGAGATAGAGGTAGATCGAGAATACGTGGCGTGTTCCATTGTTTGCCCTAAACTCTCCGAAGGGACGCTTTAGACGCTCGATGAAAGAACGTAGGGAACCAAGTGGAGAAAGACAGAGAGTAGCCGAGCGCGTTTGAGAAACGTCGTTTCCCATGTAACAGAAGCCTACACGGTTATCGATTGATCACCGGTCATCGCTCATCGTCCGCGTTTTCTTCCCTCAGTCGCGCCCCACAGAGTCGCTTCCTCCCCCGCACAGCTAACGAAAAGTCGGCCTAAACTCAGCGTCGTGCCTTTCGACTGGCAAGCGAAGATCGAGCGTGGGACGTGTAGGATTACACTCATACAGAGGTACCCAAAGAACGAGGAGAATAAAACGGGAAGACGAGAAACGGAAGCGAAGGCAAGAGGCAAAAAGGATCAGACCTAACCAGAAGAAAGAGACCCGGTGCATAACCGGCGATTCGAGAGTGAGCCCGGTTAAACCCGGTGAAAACGGGCACATATATGATGGCGGTGTGCATGTTCTGGCTCCTCACGTACGTGGGACAAGGGCTGGACCTGGCCGTGGGGAACCGTCCCGTGATCATCATGCAGGATGCACAGGAGCAAGACTACCGGCACGGTAGTGGGATCAGAAAGAAGAGCGAGCTGAACTCGGTAGGCAATAACCTGTTGCACTTCAGGATATATCCACCCGAGGCACCTCACCGGGACGACCTATCCAACTGGCTGCTATTGAACGACGAACCACGGATCTCCTCGTGGACACCAGCAGGTATATTGATCGACGATATGATCAGGGAGCCAAGGGAGCTGCAGACGGTCTTCTTTGCCCTGTCACCAGCTATGTTGAACATGCTCTACTCGGAATACATGAACACCGCCACCCAGCCAGGCGACCACTTTCTACACGAGGATCAGCAGCACCTGAACGGTGGCCCCGTGATAGGTGGTGGCCAACGCGGGAAGAAGCTGCTGATCGACTGTAGACACTCCAGGAACACGGTCAGCCTGCCTATCAGAGTGTGCAACGGCGACACCGGACGGAAGAGCCTGCAAGAAACGAGACAATCGAACTTCGACGATATCTTCGAGCAGAAGCTGAGCACTGCTGCGAACCTGAAGACTGACCCAAGCTCACGGGGACCCGAGAAGCCGCGGGATTATCAGAACGGCGCCACGTTTGTGTCCAGGCCACCGTTCGTTCTGGACACGGGCAAGCCACCCGGAAAGAGGAGTCAAACGCCTGTCGGACGCCGCTCCATCGACCTCTCCGGAGAAAACGCCCCGCATCAAGCTCAACCGCCGTCCTCCCCAGGGAACGACAACAACATCGCTTCTCAAATAATATTCAGATCCACCAAGAGAAGCATACGGTACGACATTCCACAAATCGGTGAGTCTAACTTTATACTTGCTCCTTTGTGCTTAAGATCCACGAGATTGTTCATTGGGGGTCGAGTTTGCGTCTTAATCGAGTTGGTTGGGTAGAATTGGTATTGATGATGCGGGGTTGGAACAGGGCTTCAGTGGAGGGGATAATAGGTCGATGAATGAGGATGCGAGGTAGTGTTTGGTGACTGGCTGGTTTTGCGAATGCAAATTCGAAGCTCTTTTTTTCGTTAAGGACATTTTTCGGGGGGTTTCAACGGCATGGGTCTGACAAAATGGCTGATATCATGGATCTCCTTTATGGCAGACTTGGGATTTTAGATTTGATTCCTTTTTACAAAAATCTCTATTCTCGAGATAATATCCTTTGGACAATTTTGGGGGGTAAATCTTTGAATAAACTTTCAAGTTAAACTCAATGATGTTAACCTTCCTTTGGGTATTTATTTTAGGTCCACTGTAGAGTAAACTTAGATTTCCTTCTAACGAAAGGAAAATTGTTAGATTTTAGGATTTTGGAATCAAAATTATTTGTTACATTCTTAATTCGATGTTACCTATTCCCGTTTCGAGTTTGAACGAAAAATTTCGTTGTCTTCGACTAAAGAACGAAACTCTAGTGATGAAGGGTACGATTATAACATAAAGGGTATTCAAACTACGGGTGGGTCAGACATAGGCACCCGCCAATTGACTCAGAGATTCATTGTTCGACAATACGGATTAATAAACAAAACATGTACGTTCCTACTATAATTATCGAGAACTCTGAATTGCTCTAAATTGGTGGACCAATTTAGCGATGACAAATGGAGATCAACCATTTGTATTGTAAAACTGATATTAAATAACATAATGTTACATCGGTCCTGGTATCTAAAAATTAGTCTCGGGGCTCAGTTTACAGAAACCAGCTGTAACCAAAAAGGTAGATCTCGGGTTCCGTGATCGCAACAAGCCTGCCTATTTATACATCTCGTATTTTTGTCACTGACTAGCGAATCTTCGTCCTTGAGCTATTGCAATGAAATCCAATTCGAATCACTATGACCCGACTAAATTCACCATTCGACAAATGGTTGAATCAACGTTTGAAAAGTTAATTTCGGCGCGTGTAGCCCCTAACTTTATAGCATCCAGCTGTCCTGCAGGGTCTAAATTATTCCTCGAGCTCTTGCTCTGGGTTTCCTTTCACCCCAAATTGCGGAAATTATCTGTACTCTTCGTCGTTCGAGCAACATCGTTGCTGGAAACTAATTCCAAACTCGTTCTGCTCCCCAAATTCGGATAAACAGTGTACTCGGTCTGTGATCATAGTAGCTCTGTCGTGGTACTCTTGGGGTCTTGAAATTTTCTGTAATTCACCGATGTAAATTATTCTCCTGCACTTTGCTCTCAAGGTTCAGTCATTTATCTACGTCTATCTTCGTGGCCTCTTATTGGTGGACGATTATTCGAATCACCGATGAAAATCGATGGTCGAAGAAGATGAGAGGAGAGTAGAGCTTTCGAGGAGAAAATTGACCGTAGAATAGGGAACTGGTCGGTTGGGGATGAAGTGTTTTCAGGATGACAGAGCCCGACGTGTTTGACGAACCCTCGAATTCGATATGAGGAAACTAATTGATCGGGCATCTCGCCTTGAACTCGAGACGAGCGGTTTCTCATCTGCGTGAAAAATCGAGGGGTCGAAAGGGGATGACGGTGGAAAAATGAAGGGCAGTTTCTTGTTGATGCTGCTCGAGTGTCCTTTATATGTCACCCCTTCTGGGACCAATTTTCTGTACGCATTATCGTTGCAGAAAGCCCCTGAGCAGTTTTGGATTACAGCTGTGCATTTTCCACAACCGACATCCTACTTCCTAATCGACCATTTGCAACTATCACTTCGCTGTATTCCACTATACCCTGAAAACTGCACTCTAAATAACTCCAAATCTGATTTCGAGATATTTGTTCAAAGATTAAATATTCTTTTCTGACCTCAATTGTGTCTTGACGATTTAGAGTTCCAGGTCTATTCCTAAGTTTTAGGTTATCACGATTAAAATCAGGTACCCTGGTGTTAAGTATTATAGCATTTGATACCGTGTTATTAAGTATTTAGTATATTACTTATATTAAGTATAATGAGATACTACAATTTTGAATATTATATTATTAGATACTATATTATGTGGTGTGCTGGTAATTACCATAAAATTAGATACCTTCCTATTAAATACTATTACCAAGTATTAAACCATTAGATATCACTATTACGTGCTTTACCATTAGATATAGTCCTGTTAGGTGCCATATTACTGATATTATACTATTAGATACTATATTATGTGTTGTACTAATAGTTACCGTACTATTGAGTATCATACTACCTTTCTGTTAAACACTATACTATTCAGAATTATATTATTATATATTATACTACTAAACATTACACTATTAGGTACCACACTATGAAGAACCATATTTTTTCCCACCACACCATCAAATACTATCACCTACTTTATTACCTATGATACTAATGATACACTATTATGATTCACAGAGATTACATCAACCCTCCTAAAATACACAAATGACACACTGACACCAACAACGCCACTACACCCCCACCAAAGAGTCCCAAGTCCCACCAGCTCCAATATCAACACACCGATGAAAAATTTTCCAAAAAGATGTGGAATCTCCACCAATCTATTTTCACATCCCCCACTAAACCTGACCCATCCATCACGCGAACGTAACTCTGCCAAAGAAACTAAATCCCCGACAATAGCCAGCTCAGCCCGGAAACTCCTAACTCGTGAGTTTGATTACACGATGGCAACGCGTAATTAGCCGCAAGAACTCTTTGCTCATTAGCCGGTATCGATCTCGGAGCGGTCGATGCGAGTGGCCCGTGCTCTTTAATGACTTTTATCGTCCCGGCTGATCGCGATGGCACGCCCTGACCGATGTCCCCGTCGGATTACGACGAAGCGACAATTTAATCGCCGTTTCCGTTTCGCCGCTGCACACAGGCCGTTTCCGCGGAAAAAGGAAAATGAAAAGTGATGCCGGGCCGCGGGTCACGGTATGAATCCTGTTCGAGTGACCTTTCAACGGCGGAGGCGGTCCGGGGAACAGGTCTAGCAGGGCTAGGCCGGTTGATGATGGCACGCGGTCTTGGGTGTCGCTGATTAAGTAATCCTCCGCGTTAGCCACCCTCTCCGCGAGTTTCGGCCTTTCATTCGGTTTATCAGCGCCGAACTCGTTAGGCCCGTGACCACGAAGTTCCGCGTAATGTATTCGGGCAGCTGTGATTAACCCTCGAGCCTGAATAATGACGGGTCATTTGAATTCGGGCTTCGAGGGACTTCTCGCGCAACGAATTTTCGTGATGTATTCCGATTTTAGTATTCATTTTATTTATTTTTTTGGGACCAGAGTGTGGGTGGATACAATATACTGAAATAATATGGTAATGGAATTGAATAATCAGATGAAACGGTTCTTGATTAATATTGCTTATTCGTTGACAATTTTATATATCTTTGTTGGTTTTTATTTAACGAGGTAGAATTCTCTTGGAATTTTTGTTTGGAATTATGTTATGGAAAGTGTATGGTGTTACTGTGAAATTATTGAATATTTTTTGATAGTTCTGTTCATTATCTTTTGTTAGAATTTGCTTACGAAAATTATTCATAAAAATTTTTGGATATTTTTACGACTATCTGGAATTTATATGTAAAAAGGGAATTTGTTTTGTGGGATTTATAAATAGGTCTTAAAAATTTGTATACTTTATAATTTATGCGTGGAAAATATAACTTCTGTCTTAAAGAAAAGTATATGGAAGAGTAATTTGCTATATCGTAATATTATCCTAGTATAACAGCGTTATCACAGTAGTAGTCTCTAATACTGTTCGTGATGGTATATGCTATAGTATAGCATCGCTATTCGTATTGCTATAGTCGAAACTACTAGTATGCAAATTCAGGAAATCCCATTCTTTGGTAACGTGTTATTATTAGCATTCACGTCATGTTGCACATTGTACTACCATGAAAAATAATGCTACGGCATATTATTACCGTGTGCCATTGCTATAGTGCGAATCGTTGCTATAACGTGAACATAGTGTGTCCTAGCTGCGATACTATTAATCAACCACCAACACTATAGTACTCCCGTTACTCTAATATTACCGGGTACCTTACAAGAAAATTATTCAAGATTAACTAGAATCACAGCAGTTGTTAAAATTATGATTATACAATTCCTTAAGTAGAGTCATGTATATGTGCATAAGGTGTTTCATAAGTATGGTCTCAAAATATTAACAAAAATATGACACCAAACTATATCCAATTCTATATTTAAATTTCATTAATTTTCAAAACACTCCCTATATATATATACTGACTCATCAAAATAATTAAATACTCAAAATTCTTGTTACTAAATTCAGAAATGGCACCCAGTATTAAAAAGGAAATTTCTACGCTTAATTTCAGAATGAAAAATTCAACAACCCCATATTCCTTTCCCAATTACCACAAATACAAATACAATAAAAAATGAATACACTTCTCACGCAAAATTCTCAAGACACCTATCCTACGTTAGGAAGAGAAACAAAAATTTCAAAATAAATTAAACAACCCCATCTCGTCGATTATCGCGAACAAAAATGAACTGAAACACGAAAGTTCTTCCCATGCAAGATTTTCAGAAGACTCGGAAAATATTTTCAGGTAAAGATGGAATACTCACATCCTCGTTAATTCTCGAAATTACAAAGCCGCCCTTATTCGTAAATTCGCTTGCCCCACTTGAGCACACTAACGACGCTCGGTCGCGCAACTTTTAAGCACCCTGTAGAAACTCGCGACGCCTCGTCACACGTTCTCCTCAAACTTTTCATCGCGACACGGCATCGCGACGCAATCGATACGGTGGACGTATCAAACGATCGACCGATCGCGGTGAAAATCGCTCGACGTAGCCGCCGGG